AATTATACAAAGATATCGGCTATTTAAATAAATAGCGTCGTTGCCAACGCGCCCCCGAAATTTACGATCAAGATCGGCGTTTGTTTCAGCGCTTTCATTTTCAGGCGGATGTTTATTTATTTGAACACGACCAATTTCTCTTTCGACGTGTATATACATTTTTAAACACTCGTGCCTCGGAACACGGCAAGATAGAGATGGGTTACAGGCAAATTATTATCGTCTGACGTAATGTTTAATAGTTCGCCAAGCACCTTGATTTTTCGCCTAAAGCTAACCTAAACGTTATATACGAAGTGTGACGCAATATTTTGATACGCTACATTGTTACTAACAAATCTTTCAGAAAGACCACTGAGAAATTCAATTAGAAATTCGTATGGGTAAGGTGTTTCTTTCGTCGATAGAGCGTGCAAGCATAATATTGATGCGATAGATTATTTACCGAAAAAAAAACAATTCTGCTCTGCCGTAAACTTTCCTTAAAAAATACATAATTTCCGTGAACCGTTAACTCGAGGAAACGAAGAAGCAACGATATGTAATTGACAAATTTCTTATCGTTTCTCATCCTTTCCAATTGAACCACACGTTATTTAATTTGGTTTTAATTAAACAACTCCAAATTTTTGTTTCTCAGTTCTTCTGAAAAGAAGAAAATTCCTTTTTGTAACAGAATAATCCGTAGCTTTCTCTCGTAATGCGTTTATATCGACTCAATATGTACTCGATTCTGGATTCAACTCTGCGAAAAAAGTATTTAAATAATGGCGCAACAAGTGACATTTTGCACGGAGCAGAGAGTGTATTCCGGGGATGGAATATTTCGAGAGATAGAAAGCAAGATAACCCATAATAAGAAACTTTAGAAACGGACTAGAAGATTGAAATCGAAATCATTGTTTTTTAATTGTAACACAAGTGACAGAATGCGCAGCGTTTTCGAGGGGGAATCAACGGGGTCAGGAGATTTGGAATAAAGAGAGAGAGAGAGGGGAATCCTGACTGCAGATTGACAATCGGTACGCACTAATTAACTGAACGCAATCGTTCGCTAATCGGCCAACGGTGGCTTTCGGATCGCGGCGGAATTACAGAAACTCGCGCCGCTATCAGTTAGTCGCACGTGCGACGCGATTTGTCATCAGGGCGAATTCGTCAATGCGCGATCGGCCAGCGGACGGCTCAAACCGCTGCACGTAGCGAATTTTCGATGGTTGAATCGCTAATAATCCCGGATCTCGTAATTTCGCGAATGATATAACAGGTGGCGGCTGGCAGAGATTCGCAATTGCGCGACGGAAATTGGACTGTTATTGATCGAAGATCGCCGATCGGATAGCACCGTTCGGATGGATGTGCAAAGCTAATGAACGTTCGGAGAAGTTGCGGTGAATAAATAAAGCCGATTTTCACGCTGTTCTATTTTTTTATCGTGCGTTTCAATTGGAAATTATTTGTTCCCTTCTTTTTTTTTCTTTTTTTTTTTTTTAAATCGGAACATTAAATTTAATTCGATCGAATTCGTTCCACGATTGTCGGGCAAAAGATGTCGATCAGAGTCAATAATTGTCGACAAACATCGATAAGCGGTGATAGCTTCCGAGAAAAAAATAAGAATCAAGTTTATGCGTTCTCTGTCCGTACGAATCTCTTGCGCGTTTTTCGAAAGATTGTGAGAGTCCAAAATATTTAAACGAGCAGTAATCGATTGCACAACATTACGATAAGACGTGTCTACGTGCAATATTTACTCATTACAGAGAGAAATCGAAAGAAACTTCTAAAAAAAAAAAAAAAATAGAATGTCAGCAAAACGTAAAACGTAAAACGTAAAACACGTAAGGCCAATTTATCATCAGTATTGATAGCCGGCAGGAAATATCGTCGTATAACAGCGAATAACTTTGATAAAACGTCAAACATGTTCAAATATTGTTACAAAACTGTACAAGTCGCCCTTGCAATATTTCCCAACAAATTTTCAGTTTCTCACAGTTCGTATCGATGATTTTAAATATCGATATCGAGACACCGACGACTGCCAATGAATGTTAATCATTCGCAAGCATCGCCAATTACAAGCAACCAAGAATCTATTGATTCCTAATTTTCCAAAAATAATTTGCTTCTGAATAAAAAAGAAAAAAAAGGTACTTACTTTACTCCTAATTTCCAGAGAAGAATTAATTTAATAAAAATTTAAGTGAGAAAAGAGATGTGTATCGGTCGCAAGTTGGTTTCGTCTTGAGGCCTGGTGGCGCAGATGCGGGATACCGAGGGATAATTAACGAAACCGGGGGCTGATTAATAAAAGGCACGTGTTGACGTGGCGATCGGTAGCCGATGTCGATCCATCGCGACGCGTTAATCCGGCTTGTCAAAATTGAATTGGCGGGCTGGACGCGCGTATTGTTCGCGCGACCGTGCCGCGGGTATTAATTAACAAACGGACGTTAACATTCGTCCGCTAATCGCGTCCGCCGAATTTCGCGCGACGTCGCATCCCCAGTCGAAATGAAATTCACGCTCGATAGCACCGACCAGCGCCGCGCTCCTAATTACCAGTTACGCTAACCTGCCCCCTTTTCTTTGCGAAATACATACTAACAGCTTGTTTGATTACTTTGCGTGAATTCCTCGGTGGCTTAAGAGTGACCTCGTTCCCTCACGCCGCAGAAAATATACAGAAAACGCGTGGCGCAGCCACAATCGAGGTAAGAGTAATATTGACGTGTATCGTTAATGCCAGGCGGATTGAAAACCTTGGAACCATTTCTTGGTTTTCTTATGTAACCAGATTTACGGCATGTATTTAATAGTAAAGTCACTGTGCAGTGTTTAATTTAATTTGGGCAAAGTAAGGTGATTTGTTAGGAGACTTGCAAACGGAGAGATTATTATCATTTGACACACGTCCTCTGTGTAAAGTTGGAGTCGGAATTTTAATTTCAATTTCGTCACGGCGGTATTTGGCGATGCAGTAACAAGCATTCGATATATTTGAAAGTATAATTGGAAATTATATTTCAAGTATAATTTGATCTAATTGATTCCGGTCTAATTGGTATTTCAAGGCAATAATCGAGCATTTTGTGTCGTAAATTTGACAAAGATTCATAGACATTTTACGTTTCGAATTATATTCCCATTTCAACTTTCATTTTCTGCATATGTACGTGCAACATGTCCGATAGTACGATACAAAGGCCGATCACTCTATCTTATCGCTAAACCTTATATAGTTTATCTAACCCCGTTACCTTAAAATCATTACGACCCCACGGACACAACTCGATTGTTCTCGTAACAATCAGTTCATTCAAAGTATCACAATGTTCGCGAAGTATCCGTGAATCTTCAAAGATTCCCTCGACAAAATTCCAAATGTAAAACGCAACCCCCGCGTCAGATCTTTCTAACCGTAAATTCCACAAACGTAAATCTGCAAACATGGATGATCCTTACTTATGAAGCCTTCCCTTTTCAAACTGGCTGGCTGGATTCAATTCAGAGAAAGAAGAGCGAACAAATCCTGAGGGAAGTCCCTTTTCGTGAATCACCGTTCCATCCCGTTTCGAAACACTC